CTTTGCCAACCAATTAGTCTTCAGTAAAGATGGATCATTTGTGTTCCCTTGAAGTCTGTCTTTTAAGAAAGCAAGGATAACGTGGCCACAGAGGGTCAAGAACTTAAAATGCCAATTGGATTTGATCTAGGGTTGCCTGTTGATGAACAGCATATTCTCTTCATGACTCTTTGCTATTGAGTTCTGCTGATTCCCATTTTCTTTGGCTGCTTTATTATCCTGTCTCACTACAATACTGGGGAACAGATGTCATTTTCCTACAACAAAAGTTTTTTTTCCTGTTTTAGGATAAGTACTTTATCCACCATCATCGTGAATTCTAGGCCTACTGAATGTCTGCAGAATGGGAACATCCACCAATGCAGCAATGCAGGACTGGTGGGTTGCTCGTGCAAGAGGGTGGCAAGTTGCCCAAGCAGCCACTGTCCAGGCAGTTTTCTCTTTTTGGAGGTCCCTGATTGGACAATGGCAATGCTTGCATGACTTCCATGATCCCACATTACTGGTGGATCTTTCAGCTCAGAAACTCAGTACCATCCTGGCTTTAGATTCAGGGTTTTTAAAGAGTGCTGGTGGGGACAAAATTGTGCAGTTGGAAAGCTCCTCATGTCCTTTCAGGCAAGGATAGTACTTGAAAGGACGATTTAATATAAGATTCTACAGGAATCCTAAGAATCTACATTATTTTATTTAATCCATAGCAAGAGATGTCAAGGAGAACATCAGGTGCCATATTGGGTGTTTTGGGGACCACATGCAGCTCATGCGCTGCCCACCTGTGGCTTGTGTCAATGGTTAATATCAGCATATTGCAGACTAGACTGCTAACTTTGAATGTAGTACTAACTAAACACCTTCACTGGGCATAGTTGTTAAGAAGGATAGAAACAAAGGTAGGGCAGAATGCAAGAGATATCTGTGAAGTTCAAACCATTAGGCACCCCAAGCTAATGCAACTGTGTATAATTTGGATATTCATGTCATAAATGTGGAATGTCCAATAACAATATACAACTGCATGTGACTATTCAGAACTAACTTCACAGTACTGTACACTGTTTAAACTGGAAGTTGTAAAAGTTTTTGCCAAAACTGTTTGAGTGCTGGTGGGGACAAAATTGTGCAGTTGGAAAGCTCCTCATGTCCTTTCAGGCAAGGATAGTACTTGAAAGGACGATTTAATATAAGATTCTACAGGAATCCTAAGAATCTACATTATTTTATTTAATCCATAGCAAGAGATGTCAAGGAGAACATCAGGTGCCATATTGGGTGTTTTGGGGATCACATGCAGCTCATGTGCTGCCCACCTGTGGCTTGTGTCAATGGTTAATATCAGCATATTGCAGACTAGACTGCTAACTTTGAATGTAGTACTAACTAAACACCTTCACTGGGCATAGTTGTTAAGAAGGATAGAAACAAAGGTAGGGCAGAATGCAAGAGATATCTGTGAAGTTCAAACCATTAGGCACCCCAAGCTAATGCAACTGTGTATAATTTGGATATTCATGTCATAAATGTGGAATGTCCAATAACAATATACAACTGCATGTGACTATTCAGAACTAACTTCACAGTACTGTACACTGTTTAAACTGGAAGTTGTAAAAGTTTTTACCAAAACTGTTTTTTTAAAAGCAACTCAAATTATATTTGGTATGAACGACACACTGCAGCCCACCAAGAGGTCTTTGAATGTTGAAATCAGCATTTCATGGGGGGAGGGAGGAGTGTGGGGAATAGATCAAAAGCACGCTGCTTGCTAAACCAAGTTTCCATACCACATTTCATTCAGCTTCTGCTGTGCGAAAACAACGGCTGAAAGGCAACAATAATTAAAGCTGACTTTTCAGGCTTATTAACACAATTATATTAATTAGTCTTATTTTCCTAACCCACGCAATTTGAAGAACAAAAAGGATTGAAAACTTGTAAGATTTCCAGCAGTTACCTAAACAACACACATTACAGGATTTGGGAACTTGCAGCTCCGCAGATAGTTGGGTATGGAGTTTCCATCCACCTGACCCAGGGCTAAGCTTCAGAAGAGGAATTCTGGAGGTGGTGTGTGTGACCCCCTTTTTTAACTTAAGGGATGATAAGAGCTGAAATCCAACAATACCTAAATGGCCACACATTCCCCATCTCTCCTCTAGATCATGCCAAGGAGAGAGTCTTTTGAGATATCCTGGGAAGCTCAAAATATCCTCTGCTTGGCAGCTTGATTGTAGCTGGTGCCAAGAGGTGATGGTACTCAGATATGATGAATGCCCCACCCCAGGATGTAAGGAGAACCTGCTGGTTTTTTGCTCCCTATCTTTGGGGAGAAGAACACTCAGCTTCATTTTACCATTGCTCTGGAGGAGAGAAAGCATGCGGTGATCTAGAGATTACTGGACATTGACCATACTGGCGCCCACTCTTGTTGTCCCACAAAGCAAATCAAGGAGCTAAAGAACACCCCCTAAAACATTTATTTTTAAGATGAACCATAAGGTAGTGAAAATAAACCACTGTAACTGAATGCAGGAATTTCTCTATTCTAGAAAATGCTGACTGACAAGCATATTTAAGGAGAAAAAGAGGCATAGCTGCACTTTTCCCATTCCTCAGCGCTTCACTACATATTGCAATTGCATCCACTTCCAAAAGCCTTGCTGTCTGCTGCTCTTAGAAAATAAAACTGAGGGTAAATAGGGAAAATATATTCAATTTGTATTGCTTTCACCCTGTCTTTCAGCAGAATTTACAGGCTAACTTGGCTCATTACAAGCAATCAGCATTTGCCCATGTGGTAGGCTCTTCCTTCATGGACAAGATCAATCTAATTAAAGTAACAATTCTTTCCAATATAGCTTTTATCCTTCATTGTTTCTTCACATTCACCTCCTTTTACTAGAAATTAAAAGATGACTCAAAGATGGCGAATGAAAGATCAGTTTGTTTTGCTCATCAGAGATATGATTAAAGGCACCTTCTCCTGCCTCCACCATTGACAATGACATTACCTAAATGTTTTTTCTGGAGAAAGATGAAGTCTGTGGTGGTTCTTTTCTACTATGCTTAACCTGATTTATTCTCTTAGAATCCAACTGTATTAATAACCAGGTCTATGCTGGAGAAACAACAGAAGAGCTAGGCTTTGTGCTTCTCTTATGTACTGAGTTACTTCGATGCAGGTTTTGTATTTGATTGGCTTTGAATCATAAAAGTAAGGGAAAGGCTAAGCATTGGTCCTCCAAGGGAAACCCAGGACTGTCTTCCTATCTTCATATCTAGATAGCTTAAAAAAACTCAGTGAAAAGCAACTTTGAGAGATTGTGATTTGAGTGAGAAAAATGCAAATTTAACCCTTTTAGAAGAAAACATCTGGATGCAGGATTGTATGAGTGGTGTGGTGTGGTCACAAAGGATCAACTGCAGATTAGGACCTGGAAAAGGGAAAGCAAGCAGGAGTACTATATTGAGAAAGAAAATATATTTTTAAAGTGTTAGGGCTTTATTCTGTGCATTTGTATGTAACATGATCAGCTCCAGTAAAGGTTCCAGCCTCTGCCACAAGCAATCTATGGCACCAATGCATATTATACATACCTTGATATGACCAAATGCACTTAATTTTGCCTCTTCTGGTTTTAAAAATTGGATCGTTTCTTATTATTTTTTTGGTTAGCAGTCTTACTAATGAACACAGGTGCACGTTGATGTTTGATAAGGTTAGCAAGAACTATAAGTTGATTAATTTTCAGAAACAGAAATTCTGTTATAATTTTATGATGCTTTCTGTTAGTTGTACAGTATTTGTCATGTTTGTTTGATTAACTTAAAGTATTTGTGTATTATCTTGCTGCCTTTGAGGGCTCTGAAAGTTACAAAGATTAAAAACTGTTTTAAAATATTATTTTAAAAACACATTAAAATATATTTTAAAAGCAAATCCAAAACATCTTCGAAAGTACAGTCTTGCACACTAATTTTGGAGATCAGAGGCCATTTGGAAGAATAGAATTTTATCTGCCTGCTGGAAGCTCCACAGCAATGGAGAAAACCTAACTTCTGGGAGGGAGTCCCACATACAGAGTGCTGGGTCTCAAACTCCACGTTGGCACACATGGGGGAAATTTTGCTTCAGATATCCTAGCATCAAACTGTTTATTATATTCATATATCGAAACCAGCACCTTAAATCGAGCTGGGAAGTGAACTGGATACCAGTTCAGTTAGGTTAAGATCTGTTATATTGGCCGAAAGCCTATTGTGCAGCTGTCTCTGCAATGAGAACGATCCTTTTGTGATTTTACGGTTCTCATGGTTTTCACACACTGTAACAAAATTGTGTGTACCCTGAAACTACAAAAGGAAGCCTTTAATCTCTCACTACACCGAGACGCTGATTCAGAACTTCCACAAACTCCTTGGCATCAGCCGAGGAACAGAGATGGAACTAGGCATAATCAATATACTGGTGAGACCTATGGGTCTACTCTTTTATGCTTTTGGATCGCAAGCTCCAGAATTCTTCAGTGATTCTGCAGGCACAATTCTGGGAGTTGCAGCCATCAAACAGGCCTCCAGGTTTTGCTCCTCTTCCTGGAGAAGGGCTTTCAGGTTATTTACCTCTGAAGCTGCTACATGTCCAACATAGAATTACAGGATCATCAAGTTCGACTCCCTGGCAAACCAATGTGCTGCACTAAAATGAATGGGGTCCATAAACAACACCATGTCGAGCACTTATATTGCATAAGTGTGCATGATATTCAAAGATTTCATGACCAGGAGCCATGACTGATCTTAAAAAAAAAACCTATGAAAGGCATTTTCCATATTAAGTGACTTGTTTCACTACATACCAAAAGGTTCTGAAAATTACTGTACTTTACAGTGAAATTTGTTTATATTTGATTAAAATGTATTGTATATAAGTGGGAAATTAGATTTTAAAATTATAAACATGCATGAGGATGTATTTTAAAAAGTTAAGATTCCTATTCCAGTTGTAAAATCATTTTATTGGTACAAATATACATTATGAATAAAATTCCTTCAGTCTGTATCGTAAGCAGATGCCAATGAATACACAAAGAAAAAAATGCATAAATGCTTTTACAGACAAAAACCTTTTTTAAGAAGTACATGTTAAAGGTTAGAGAGGATGCAGAGAGATTCTAAGGCAGCCTCTAGAAAACATCATTATCAATAAAACACCCATCGCCCTCATTCCAATCAACACCATATATTTAACCTATGGATGTGGAAGCATAGCAAGGTTTTAGCAAATCTGTATTTTTGTTGTGCTTTTGAACAGTGCACAAATGTAAGAGGTTGTGTTCTTATATACAGTACAACAAACAGGAAAAAGTCTCCCAAAGGAGAATGTAAAAATCATATCCAAGCATCTAATATATATTATTTATACAAATTCTTTTATTAGTGTGCTCTGTTGATATAATTACAATGTGCAATTGCATTCAGCAAGAATATATTTATAAATTTGCGTGCAAGTTTGACACATTTACATTCAGCAGTACAACATCTCTCCTGCTGTACATAGTGGGTTAGTGTAAGAAAATGTTCAGTTCATTTGCTTTGTTTTTAATCTCTAGTCCTAATGCAAGGCATAATTTTTGTAGCTGCTTCACAGAAATTCAAGTAGAAGAGTTGCTGGCTTTAGCAGAGTCATGAAAGGGAATGTCTGGAATCATACTTGTTAGGAAAAACCCCCAAAGAGTCAAATCAATGAAATTTAATTACCAGTGCAATCAATGACTCTTTCTTAAAACTGTAAAATTCTCCTTTATAAAAACAGCTGATGAAAAAGAAGGGTAATTGATAGCTGTACCCTTATTATTACAAAAGACCTTGCACTGCCAAGTGAATGAACAACCAATTAAACAAAAATAAAATCTTTATCTGCTTCTTCTCCAGAGTCACTGGACTTGCTTCCTTGCTGGCCATCTTTACTTAAAGACCTCTGTTTCTGCTCATGGGGTTCATAAACCTGATGTCCTGGGCTTCTTTTTGAACCTGTAATACAAAAACCAGAATATTTTATTTAGCTGGGAAAAGCACAAATGATACTATCAGGCATTCTTTGCAAACAAGGAATAATCTATTTACCCCATTTCTATTTTCCTTTATTTTACTCCATTTTAATTTGAACATCAACCTAAAAAAATTGGTACAAGTTTACAGACTGAATTCAGAACATTCTTCTGCTCAAAGCAGAAAGTGCTGATCCAGAGGCAAATGATCTCATTTACAGGAGGGGGATTGCCTATTGTTCTTAGCAAAACCACCACTTTATGGGGAGTGTGACAGAACAGTTGCCAATCTCACTCAAGGGCTCTACTCCAGTAAAGAAAACTGTGCAAGCATCTCTATCTGGTCATTGGGTTTTTGATCTACAAAGGGATGCATGTTTGTCCCATTCATGCTAAGTAAAAGCAATGACCTCTGCAGTGGCTGGAGGGAGGTTGGTCTAAAAGCAACCGAAGATGATGGGGAAATGGATAATTTAAACACAACAGTCCACATGAACAATTGTTTATATTGTAAACACAACAGCAGCTTTCATAATAAATGAGGTAATACATATCAGCTTGTAAATTTAGTGAAGAAAAGGTATTGGCAGCTTTTAATTAACTAAAGGTCACTTATGTAAACTTTTCCGATAACTAGCTTTATGCAGTAACTAAACTGACACCAAGCATTTAAAGCTTTATAGACAAAGGATTACGTACACTATAGGTACTACAGAGACAAACAGACTAATCCAGCACACATTTTGAAACTGATTTCATCATGGGAAAAAGAGATGGGTTAAAAGTGTGACACATGGATCTTTGTCACTGCCATTTACAACAAAATTACAGCCACAGCATGAATGCACTGAGAGCAACTACTGATTTTTTCCAAATGTAATAACTGAAATTATTCTCTTTAAAGCGCCAACGCTTCTCCTACACCACAAGACACATTCTCAACAAACCACAGACAAGATTCTTCCACATCTGGCAGCTCAGCACATCTGCTCATTTCTATTTATTCAACATCTTCTAAAAAGAGAATTCCTCTCTGTTCTTTATTAATATCAGAAAATATACACTGGAAAGCTAGATGAAAGATTAAGAAGTTTACAGGGAAACAGAAGAAGGAGTGGAAGTTTATGCTTCGGATTAGAAGGCTGATTGCTGAACTGCAATAAATTGTAATTAGATAATACAAAGCCCATTTACATCAGCAATGAATAAGTAAAGAATGCTTCGTTCCTGGCAATGCTTTCAGCACAGCATTTGAGAAGCTTCAGAGCTAAGAAACAGATCTTGCCATATAAAAATTGAGATAAGGAAAAGGAAACTAACTCCAGTGTCACTTTTCCTTCTGACTATTCATCACAATCACTACTCTGTAAGACACGAATTTCTTTTTTTTAAAAAAACTGGAACTTGCACATTAGTGCCCCTTTTCACGTTTTAGTCTAGTTTCAAAAGGAATGTGTGAATAAACCACTGGTTAATCTGAAATGCTAATATTCTACAATTCTATCACGATGTACCTTCATATAACAAGTAGTAATGAAGCTCAAATTCACAATAATATGATTCAGAATATGTTTCTCACCAGCTTTTAGTAAACAAAGAGATGACATTTTGCACTGCAGTTCAAAATGATAAGGTGACATGACAAAGTGTATTTAAAAGCAGTTTGGAACTAGAACAATCCAGTCCCTTATTTTCTTAAGGACATCAGCTAATGACTGGGCTAATGGCCGTCCTAATGATATACAGGGATCCTGTGTCTAAGAGAAAATTTCTAGGCAGATGGCTTCTGAAAGCACTGAGAGCACTGAAAACCTAAAAGCAGGAGTTATTGGAGAAGTTGACTACAGAAGCAACTTCATGGATGCCACTGTATTGAAAAATTGCACCAGAGACATGGCTGTGTGGAGTCTTTGACGTGATATAACAAACTAATACGTCCCACCCCTTTTATTAACAGCAACATCTAGAATGGTTGTGTCTCTAGATGTACCAAGACTTTCAAGAAGTTGAAAGACTGACAGAACTTCTTATTATTTTTCTAAAGGCTCCCTATCCCAGCAACTCTTCTTATATAAACCAAAATTAAGTATGGACAAATAAGGTCAACAAGCTCTTCATAAACATCGCTAGTATGCGCTAGAGCAACTAGTCAATGTGACAGAGCAATTTGTCTGCTCCTGTCCCATTCCTTTGACAGCATATCTTGGAAAAAGAAAGGCAATGCCTGTGGTTCCTGGACGTCCTTTCACCCCATACTTGCCTTTGGCCAAGGAAAAGGGTCAAGAAATGTGGTCTGCTGCCAATATTCAGCTACATGCAAAAGAACAAATACATGCACAGCCTGATATTATGCAAACTCTGCTACACACAATAAGCCCACTGAAATCCAGATCCAGATCAATTGTGTTTTAGGCAATATTAATAGGTTCTCAAGGAACTGCTTAGACTTCACATAAATTTCATAATATCAAAGATGAATTGAAAGCACCCTGTCAAGAATAATCTCTTGGAGATAACCATAGCCATCACTTTCAGATGGTCTCCTGCCTCCACTTTAATTCAGATTTCCTCTCCTCAGCTGTTTGGTAGTATATAAACCCAAGTATTTTTAAGGAACAGCTTCAAGATTTCTATGGGCAGATAAGGAACTGGGGTAAGCTAACAGAAGCATGATTGCTTTGATTACCCTTATTTCTTTTCACTGGGATTTTGTATATGCTTTTAAATATCTTACAGGTTCCATACTTTTGGGTTAGAGCAGGCAACACATTTAAACAATTAAAAAGATTCTTGGAACGTTAGTCTTCCAGACAATTTTGAGAAATCAACACACTGTAAAACCATCCACTATTCAGTCACTATTTCTGCTTAAAGATCACACTGAATGCAGTGTTGTGCAAGTTATTTTCCCCATGTTTTCCAACATCTCAACAAGAATCTACATTGAGGATTCATATTATTTTAGAATTTAATCTATATACATTTTCCAAGAACAGATATGCAAGAGGATTCATCACAATGCATTTAATGCTTTTTCTTGTGTGGGCACTTCTTTGATAAATCAATCAATAAATCATAGTAAAGGGGGAGTTCAAAAACCAAAGGGGGGGGGAAAGAAAGCCATGTGCTTCTTGTACAAAATCCAAAACAAAAGATGAGTAATACTTCTTACTGGACCACTAAAATAGTACAACTAGAACTCTTCTTCAGAGGTTATTTTCAATATTTTAAAACAACCCACCTGTTGTTGGGGTTTTTTTCTCAGCGCTCCAGTTATGGTAGCACCCATTCATGTCATTCAACTTTGTACAAGGACCACATGGCTTTTTTCTTTGGTTACTGGAAGCACTTAGAATAGCCACTCAAGGCACAATCTGTAATAAAAGCTGAGAGACCTACTATCGCTCAAGGACTACTTCACTTGCAGACTCCATCTTCCTCTAATTGCTAGGTATTGTTCTTGATATGTCTTGACTTATTTTTCATAGTGTATCCGTTTAATTTAATTTGCAGCTGTCCTGACACAGGGGCTGACCTCTATGTGTTTCTACTCTCAGCCAAAAGGAGACGTGTGCTTTGCACAAGGCAATGGAGATCGTACTAGGTGGCTGCCAACCATTTGTCAGCAGAGACAAGGTTGGTGGGGACACAATTCATCTTACGGATATCTCAAGCTGATGCAACAAGAATGCCATCTCTATTTTAGGATATTAACTCAGATCCTGGCTATACTTGGGATTTCTCTATTTCTGCCTGCCCCTCCTCAAGCTCTGCAATCCTCAGCCTGAGGAAGGGCCCAACTGTGGTTAAAACTTCCCATTTTCAATGTTTAAATAGCCACCCTTGTTTCTGTATTTAAAAAAAAATCAAACCAGCAACATCTTCACACGTTTATAGGTAATACAAAGTATGATTTGAAATTTTTAGGCATTTTACTAAACCAAGTAGAATGTAATAGTCAGAAATGCAGCTACCTTTTTAATTCCAACTTCTGCAATGAATTAACTCAGAGGCTAAGCAGATTTTGAAAACACATTACCTCAATTGGCAACATCCTCAGGCTTACTGTTAATACCATACTGTTTAGCAGCCACAAGTATCGGAATGGGATGTTGAACATAGTTTTACATGGTAATTAGTCTTACACGGTAAGAAGTGCAAAATGTGGATTCAAACAGAGGAAGAAATGTGAGTGCATGGGGGGGTAGAAGGAGGGTTGATATAAACAAATCTGTATATTTTTTTAAAAAAAAAACAGAAAATATAGTCTATCTTTGGCCTAAGGACTAAATTTGCTCTGAGCAAGTTGGCTTCCAGCTGGCAGGCCACATCCCAAAAGGACTAACTGAAAGAAGGTGCTAGGTCTTGGCTAAAACAAGGTCTGAGATTACGTGGATGTATTTTGTTTTCACATTCTGTTTTTGTTTTTTCATATCCTATATGCTAAAATTGTTATAAAATATTACCCATCCAGTTGGTTAAATTGCTACTTTTCAAAACCTTGGGTTAAATGTTGTTATTGAGTTGCTTTGGGATTCTGGGAGTTGAAGTCCAAACATTTGGAATGCCAGAGTTGGCCACCAGGTCACACATACATATCTTGGAAAATGTAATGTGTTCTCCTATTGCTAAATATTCTGCCAACTTCACTAAAGCAGAGGTTTATTTTAGGAAAACAAGTTTCACTTTTGTAATGGCCATTTCATACATTGTAGCAGCATTTACTGTGGTCATAAGCCTGCTGCTTATTTTTGCTGGCATAAATGCAGAGGCGAAAATCACAAAGATGGATTCCTGCCAGTTAGTGGTAATCTTTTTGTCAGTCTTGGACAGGTTTTGCACATTTTCAAGCCAAGGGGTTAAAAAAAAGTGATCGAAGTCACCTTCTTGCATGTATTAGTAGCATTTGATGTAGCACTGGAATAGTAGTAGGACTGATTTTTAAAAAAGACACATTCAGTCTGTCTTTTTATACTTGCTGTGTGTGAATGCTTAACTCAAAGAAAGAAAAAGGCACTATATTTTTGTAGATATTTTATTCAAGAAATGGAAAACAGTTAAAAAATGTTGGGAAAAAGATTGGCATTTTGATCTCAAGCTGATCTTTCATTATGCTGTCTCAGCCAAAATACTGGTAACAGTCAGGGTTCCTCCCTTGCCCCACATTTCTAAGATTAAGGTGGAAAACACATGCATCATACCAAGATAACTGTAAAAAAAATCTGTAATTGATTTAAAGTCCCTATAGTTCTTTACAGTTACTGAAAAGTCCAGCCTTGCTTCTTTGTGTGATGTGTGTGACTAGCTTCCTTATACTGTTCTACTTTCTACTCTGGTTTACTGCCAGCAGATGAATAGGCAGATACTTGAGGCATTAAGGATATGAGTAGGTATGTGATGATTGAAATTCTTCTTTGCATTTAAGGTGCAGCATTTTTTTTAAAATATGCAAAGAGAAAATCAACTAGGTGAGAATTTTATAATACAGAGATCACTGCAGCCTGGGGAATGTCTGATGTCTTTTTCTTCTGCTGAGGTCCTGAGGAAATTCTCTTTTGAAGCTGGTAACCGTAAAGGTTCCCCTTGACATTTAGTCCACTCATATCCAACTCTAGGGGGCAGTGCTCATCCCTGTTTCCAAGCCAAAGAGTGAGCCTTTTGTCTGTAGACAGTTTCCATGGTCACGTGGCCAGCGCGACTAGACATGGAATGCTGTTACCTTCCCACCAAGGTGGTACCTATTTACCTACTTGCATTTTTACATGCTTTCGAACTGCTAGGTTGGCAGGAGCTGGGACAAGCGACGGGAGCTCACTCCGCCACGTGGATTCAATCGTAGGACTGCTGGTCTTCCAACCTTGCAGCACAGAGGCTTCTGCGGTTTAACCCACAGTGCCACCACATCCCTTTTTGAAGCTAGTAATTGACATCAAAGAAAATCCCAGTTTCAGAAGAGAGACTTTCTTCAGGACCTTAGCAATGAAGGAAAAGATTAAATTCCCACTCTGTGCCTATTGGGACCCAATAATTACCAACCTTTCCAGCTGATTTATTCAACAAGATCATACCTGTTAGATGAAAGATACCATTCCACACCTACCACCCAGGATAGGACTTACATTGTTTTTAACTGCAACTCCCAGAATTTTCCAAAAATTATCTAAGCAGAATGGTGGGAGGTGTAGTCTACAGACCAGTTGTATTTACCTCCATCAGTGCCTTCTTTGGCTGTTTCTACCTGCAAAAAAACCCCAAAGTCTTCCTGGGGCATGTAGTCTCACTGCCCATTAGGCTCTGTAGACAGTGCCTCCTACAGAACTATACTTCTTCCCAGGAAAATCTACAATTCCCACACCAGCATGGGGTAGCTTTCATGTTTTTGATAGCAGAAACAGTCCTAAGAAGGCATCAATGGAAGTAAATACAGATGGTCTATAGACTTGTGTTTCCAGGCTGCACCTCTCACAATTCTGCCTGGAGAATTCTTGAACCTTTCTGGGACTTACCATCGATCATTCGTAGCAACCATTATGCTGGCCCTGTGAGTAAGAATCGAGACTGCTGCTGCACATGACAGATAAAGGGAGTAGTGACTAGTATCATGAGCTATGAGTGAAAATGATCCTCATGAAAGAAGATATGAAGTTAAATAACGATGTCTGCACCCCTGTGCATGCAACCAAGATACATAACGTAGGTAAATATTACTGCATCCAGACATTTGTAATTGTCACAACTGTAAAGAATGAAAATGTATGATTTCTGATATATGAGTGCATTAACATTTATACCAGGAAAATTATACCAGGAAATACATTAATATTCTCACCTTCATGTGAAAGAGATCGGAGAGCAGGCTGTGGGCTGCTCTGACTATCTTTTTCTTTATCAGAAGGAACCCTTTTCAAAACAGGTGGCAACAGAGCAATTTTAGGGGATCCAGGACCAGATGGAGACTCCGGGATGTCTTCTGTAGAAACAATAGATGTAGGCAGTCAGACAAATTTAGTATTCAGGAAAATCACCTATACAACCTGCATCCCATCCTTAAAAATGAATGGGATCACATCTAGTACAAATACATATTGCTAATAGCTATGATTTGTTATAGAAAGGGACAGTTTAAAAACTGATAGACACATGCATGCCAAATCCGTACGTAGTATTATTCAAAGCCTTGCCACATTTCCTAACATGTGGAAACATGTGCCTCCAAGGATCCTGTCTCCCCTCTCTCAGACCTTTGCATCCGGGAAGGTGGAGTGGCACTTTTGCACCCAGCCTGTGTGCACAGAGAGAGGCAGGGCAGGACATGGAAGTCTATGGCACTTATTCCTATGACTCTTGTGGGTATAATAAGCCAATCAATTTAACTTGTCATGCATGCTAATGGCATATTTTAACACAGCTGCTGAACACTGCACACCATCATCAGTACGACTAATAGAAGAACTAGACATAATTGGCTAAGGTTTGAGGGTTCTTCTGCACTCTCTCCACCTTTCACTTGACTCCACTTGTCAACAGTGGGTCAAATTATTTCCAACAGAGCCTTAAAATGTTTAAAATGCTTACTCTCATATGTCAGTATTCAGAAGTTAGAGGAAACAATTTTTCTAATCAGACACAAGAGAAATTTAATACAATAAAAAGTTACTAATTAGTATAAACTTGCCCAGTTTTTAGGGGACTCACTCTCTCATACAATTTTCCATTAAAATTGCATGTCTAGCTGAAAGAACAACTAAAATGATACTGAACAATAACAAGAAAAGCCAACACCATCAATTATTTTTAAAAATTCTGTATTCAGGGTTTAACAGTTAACTTTTCCAAAATAAGCGCTGTTTTGTTACTACTAATGTAGTTTAAACAGTTTCTCACCTGTGCGAGAAGCAGACCGTGGCTTCTGAGGAACAGTTGGCCGTCCTGCTAGACTGGGCTTTACTGGCTGAAGGGGAGGCTTTGGACTAGTAGCTGTGCTGGAAGAACTCCGTGCTCTCGCCCCAGTTTCTGTCTTTGGTTCTGTTTTTATCGGTTTTTCTGATGAGGCTGTGATGGAGTCGCCTTTACTCAGGACAAACCGGTTTTCTGGAGATGACTGGTGAAGCTTACTTACTGAAACAAGAAAGAAGATGACCCAGTAAGCACAGTAACTATAGTTTTAATATGACAATATTCCACTCTCCATAGGTTTAGAAGCAAAACAACCCACAGGGAAATGGGTGGACCACAGATGAAAAGAAATGCTGCCATTCCCTTCTTATGTGTCCCTCTTCTGACTAATCAGAATAAAGCCACTTTAGTAAGCCTTTCTAATGGAGAATCCAGTATATTCTTCATCTCTGGGTGACTTCAAAGGGAGAATATGCATCCTCATCACTGAAGCATCTGAGCCCCCATTCTGGTGCTTCAGTTTTGGAAGTGTCTTGGTTACAATGACTTCTATCTTCTCCAGCAGGACAAAGGAAGCGTGGTTGATGTTTCAGGAGAGCAATGCACCAGTCTTAATGATCAGGTGACTGGACTCAGAATCTCTTCTACAAAGGTGCATCTGAACATCAGACAAAAGTCAGACATACATGTGATATAAAGGGACATGTATGTCTACAACGTGGTGGGCGCTGCGGGTTAAACTGCAGAAGCCTCTGTGCTGCAAGGTCAGGAGACCAGCAGTTGTAAGATTGAATCAATGCGACGGAGTGAGCTTCCATCGCTTGTCCCAGCTCCTGCCAACCTAGCAGTTTGAAAGCATGTGAAAATGAGAGTAGATAAATAGGTATCACCATGGTGGGAAGGTAACGGTGTTTCGTGTCTAGTCGCGCTGGCCACGTGACGAAAGAAACTGTCTTCAGACAAACACTGGCTCTACGGCTTGGAGATGGGGGGAGAGCACTGCGCCCTAGAGTCAGACACAACTGGACTAAATTTCAAGGGGAACTTTTACCTTTACTTTATGTCTACAACCAGAGAACACTCATCCTCTTCCCAGAGTTTTGACGTAACAAATGACAAGTAACTCAGTTACTTTACTATGAGTTGCCTCTGATGGTTAGAAACCACCAGATGCTGCCCTATTTACACGAAACGTAATGAGGGGGCAGGATGTTCTTATGCTCTATAATGACATGACTCATTATTAACTATACTCACATTGCCAACAGCTGATCTTTTTTTCTTCATGCTTTGCTTTCTCTTTATAAAAAATTAAATTTTCTTTTCCTTTTATTCAAAATCTAAGCCAGCCAGCTTCTTCAAATGAGTAAAAATAGTTGGGAAGCCTGGAAATGGTACTGTTATAATTTCTGGGAGAGCACAGAATTAGAGATCCCCAGCACTACAGGTCTAGGGAACAATATACAGTGGTGCCTTGCTTAAACGGGCGCCCCGTTTAACGACGAAATCGCATAGCGATTAACTTTTTGCGATCGCTTTGCAATGTTCCCTATGGGGAAAAATCGCTTTGCGATGACCGGTACCCTGTTCCGCTTACCGATCATCGCAAAGCGATGATTTTTTAACAGCTGATCGGCGGTTCCAAAATGGCCACCAGGTAAAAAAAATGGCCGCCTGCTGTTTTCTGGGATGGATTCCTTGCTTACCGGGCAGCGAAAATGGCCGCCGTATGGAGGGTTTTCGCTTTAAGGTGAGTCTGAAGCCCATAGGAACGCATTGAAGGGGTTTCAATGCATTCCTATGGGCTTTTTAATATTGCATAGCAACGAAATTGCTTTGCAGCGATTTTTGCTGCAACGATTATCGTCGCTATGCGAGGCACCACTGTACAGATAGCAAAATATAGGTTTGTGCAGCTGCTTACATGTGGTGATCGACAGGTGGACTGCACACTGCTTCTTCCATAGACATCCTTTTCATGCATGTAACTGTCATATAAAGCAGTTCTTACGAATGTTTTCAGTTATAACAAGAAATTCAGGTTTTTAAAAACTCCATAGCCATAATACTATTATCCTATACTTCTGCCCCCCCTTGCTTTTGGTCCCTTTGCTAATTGTGGTTGGTGGAGATGCCTTGCCCACAAGACAGAAGAACAATCTGAAGAGGAAAAGGGAGCTGTGGTGCTATTAGTCAAATAAATAGTGTCTTATTAAGCTGACTAACTGGGAGATGAAGAGGTTATAGTGAGCCTGTCCTAAGAACTTCAGTTAAGAAGTTTGATTTTTTAAAATTCTAATGTCATGTTTCTCAGCTCTGCAAACAGAATTAGCTTGCTTTTTTGTTTGATTGGCCATCCAGAGATAAGCATGGACTCCACTTGCAGATTGCTTTGAGGGGCTGCACATTTGGAAGGAAAATGATTGATCACTTTTAATTACAAAGCTAGCCTCTCTTCGCCTCAGATGGGAATGTAGAGGGAAAGCCTTCTCAGAGACACATAAGTGAAGGGTAAGAGTTCAGGGTATGCAGTAGGGGAAAATGGAAAAACTTTAAAAAGAACAGCTAGAGAATCTAAGAGGTCTGACAATAACGGGATCAGGAAGGACTCAGAAAAAACATAGCATATAGAGAGGAGCCACTGTTTATTTTGACGTAAAGGGAATATATAGGGAGGTTGAGAAGCTAAAGGGGCAGAAGAAGAGGACTATATTTAATTTACTGCCTTGAATCTGGTAGCCATTTTACAACCATGAAGTTCCTGCACATTTTTTTTTAGTAGCGACATAAATTTAATGAGAATCACAGAAACAAAACATAGTCATCATGGACAAAAAAACACTATTTCTGACAATGATCAATTCCATTCTACTTCTTAGTGGGTGTCTTTCACTCTAAACTCCTTTAAAAACTGCCAAGTGCTTCTCACCTGTTCATTTGCATTTATAAAGCAATTCTACAAAAGGCTTCAGGGCAAATGCACAGCACATACTGAGAGCCACTTCTGTGCTCATATCGTGCTGCCCAGAATTTGATTTCCAGGCTTGGCACAGAGGATGCTGCTGCTGTTAATTATTCTGTGCTGGGAACCTTCCAGGTTGGCTTCCCCACAGTGCAGGGAAAGATGAGGAGAAGCTAAGCAATTGACACCAACTACATGTGCGAGAGACAAGAATTCTCTCCCCTATGGAGGGGAGTCACAAGAATATAGCAAAGTAGGTCAGCTTTCAGAAATGTAAGTTATGTGCACTGTTCTGGTTGCAAGAGAAAACAGGGATAGTATGAACAAATTTATCACACTTTTCCAAAACCAGATTTTTTTTTAAAAAAGGGGGTGTCAGGAATTACTTTAGGAATCTATTTTAGAAAGCACAGCATGCAGTGACAAAGCAGGGATGGATTGAGGGAGCCAAAGAGGAAACATCTACTTTCTTGAATATAACACTCAAGCAATTATACTCCCTTTTAGATGCCCTCCAAGCCACCTGCTCAAGTGTTCATTTTTCTAAGTATACAGAAGGAGCCAAGGAGCTGCACTCCAGCACTGCCTCTCCCTGAATTCCAAATCTCTTGTTGCTAACAAGCAGTGCCTGCAAGGGAGTGACAATCTCATTCAGAAACTGATGCTTGAGTAGTAGGGCTTGAGTGGGCTGATATGCCTGGGGAGATGTTTAGGGGAGGAAGAAGATAGGTATTCTGGGAAATGGTGGTGCCTTAAGGTTCCCTTGAGGACATACCTGAACTCTGACTGATTATAATGGAGGTAGGAACAATGATTTCTATTATCAGTGGTGTAATTACTATTGTTCAATAGATCAGCTTTATCTGCATAGTAGACTCAGGGAATCATGAAGTTGGAAGGGGCCTATAAGGAGTCCAACCCCCTGCTCAAGGCAGGAATACAAATCAAAGGATATCTGTCAGGTGGTTGTATAAATTTCTCTTGAGTGCCTCCAGTGTCAGAGCACTCACCACCTCTTGAGGTAATTGGTCCCACTGCTGTACCAATTTAACAGTTAGCAAGTTTTTCCTGATCTTTAACCAAAATCTGGCTTTCTGTAACTTGAGCCCATTGTTGCATTTCCTGCACTCATAGTATCATCACGTGTATATGGGGGGGAAAAAGATTTTACCTCTGATCTTTAATTTGTACATCTAAACATACCAGTAATCTCCCTTCAGAACTTTATTCCTGAAAGTGAGGGATGGAGGAGACATGGCATGAAGGGTGGATATTGGGAGCGTGGCACACATGCACACCTGTGGTCCTACACCCATGTTGTGTCTTCATGCTTTCAAGGCAAATGCCTGAACACAGCTCACAGTACCCACATTAACAAGGTTAAAGGCGCTTATTTCCAAGTTCACAAGGCCTCAATTTACCACCATTACAGAACTCTGTAAGTAAGTAGGAGCAACACACCTGCACTGCTTTCATCCAGTCGTTCTGAGTTTATTGAAAGATCGGTGGAGTCTCTTGCATCATTGCCTAGTTTCTTTAAAAGAGAAGAGGGGGGAAAGGAGGGGAGAAAGTGATGAAGAATCCTATAAACTACATAACCTTCTAAGTATTTTTCTCCTCTTCAAAACACCAATCAGAAATTTAATTACATTTCATTAGGTTTATAGATCTCTGTTTCCCAAGGCTCAGCTCTGTGTCAGCCTACTGCAATGCAAGGTGTGATATGTGCAGCTTTCTTTGAAGAGTGACCGTAAGCCAGTTAGGAGGCTGGTGACCAGAAAGTTTGTTTCATCACTGAAAAGATGATGATCCAGTGGTAGAGTTCTATTCCTAGAAAAATGCACACCTAGAGATTACAGTGGAACCTTACGAACGTCCCTACCTACAAACATTTCGACCCACAAATGGTTCCGTTTGCATCGACTTGCGAATGGAACCTCAATCTACGGACGAAAAAAAGGCAGGGGAAAAGGGTGGGAAATTCAAATTTCCCCTGCCTTTTTTTTCTTTCCATTCAAACTGTTGGTGGCGAAGAGGCTGCTCTTTTGCCCCAATGGTTAGGAAAAGGGACCTCCAGGAGGTCTCTGATGGCAGCGGGGGACCCTGGGAGGTCTCCCAGGGCTTCCCTGCCGCCATCGGAGACCTCCTGGAGCCCTGCCGCCGCCACGATCGGACCCCCAAGTCGTCTCCAATGGTGGCGGGGAATCCCTGGGAGACATCAGAGGGCTTCCCTGCCACCATTGGAGATCTCCTGGGGTCCCCTGCTGCCACAATTGGACCCCCAGGGGGCCTCCAGAGACCTCCGAAGGCACAGACCATGGTGGTGGGGGAATGCCAGGAGGTCCCCAATGGTGGCAGGGAAGCCCAGGGAGACCTCCCGGGGGTCCCCCATCACCATGGTCGGAGGCAGCGGTCACCCAGCACCGGGAGGCTTGAGCTGGCCGGACGCTTGGCCGCTCGCCCCCGGCTGGGGCGAAGGCAGCAGAGTGCCAGGAGGCCTGGACGGGTTTCTTCGGCTGATCGCCTCCCGGCTCGCCTCATGCTCGCTCCTCACCACCCTCCGCCATTTGAATTTCCTGCCATCGGCCCACGGAGGGTGGCGCGGAGCAAGTGGAAGGCAAGCTGGGAGGCGAGCGGCTGAAGAAACCCTGCCAGGCTGAAGCCTTTTGCCAGCAGCAGTCACAGCAGCAGTGGAAGCCCGGGATGCTGAGGAGGCTTCGGACTGGTAAGGTGCTGCTTTTTCCTTTTTAAAAAACTGTTCTGGGTGGGTTTTGGAGAGTGGGTTTTGACTGGGGGGGTTATGTTTCTGTGCTGTGTTGTTTCATTTTTGGATTTATTTATTTTTTCCAGTCCCAGCATGGGACTTGCTCTGCTGTATTTTTATTTTTGGTACAGTGGTGTCTCGCTTAACAATTTTAATTGGTTCCAAAAAAATCGTCACTATGGGAAAACATCGCTAAGCGAAACACGGTTTCCCACTGAAACGCACTGAAAACCTGATAATCCATTCCAATAGGAACGAATTGCCGTCCTTAAGCGAAAATCGCCATAGGAAACATCGCTAAGCGAAACGCGGTTCCCCAATTGAAATGCATTGAAACCTATTCAATGCATCTCAATGGGGGAAAAAAATTACAACAAATTTAAAAAGAGTCGGAAAAAAGTCAAATTAGTTTAACAAAGGGTTTATTAAGTGCACTTATGATTTCAAGCATTCTAAACATTTTTAAATATTTTTAAACATTTAAAAAAGCCAACATGAGGCTGTCAAAACCATCATTAAGCGAAACAGGGGGACCCAAACTGTCATCGCTATGCGAAGCATGGTCCCAAACATTGCTATGCAAAAATTGCCCATAGGGAACATCGTTAAACGAAGTGCAAGATTGCTCCGAAAAAGTCATCGCTAAGCGAATTCATCGTTAAACAAAGCGCTCGTTAAGCGAGGCACCACTGTATTTTTTTTAAAATGCTGGAATGGATTAATCCTGTTCCCATGCATTTCAATGGGAAATGGTGCTTCAACTTATGAACATTTCGACTTACATTCTGTTCCAATGCGGATTAAGTTCGTAAGCCGAGGTACCACTGTAGTCTGCTGCCTTTCTGGTAGTAGCTGATCTCTGACGCCTGTACTTTTAAACACTTTTAATAATGTTTTAGACTCTTAACTGACTTTTTTCATTTGAACTGAAAATATAACCTGTGGGAAACTGCCAAGCTATTTTCTTTTTGGCCACCTAGGTTGGCTGGATAGCTCCATGGTTTAGGTATCTGGTTGTGGAGCCAGAGGTCGGGAGTTTGATTCCCCACTGTGCCTCCTGTGAGTAGAGCCAGCTTGTGTGGCCTTGGGCAAGCTGCAGAGTCCCAAGATGCTCCCAGAAGAAGAGATCTGTAAACCACCTCTGAGTACTCTCTAGCAGTAATTTGGAGCTGGAAACCCAGAAAGGGTCACCATAAGTCAGAACTGACTTGACAGAACATAATTATTTATTTATACCTAGTTTACAAAATTTCATAACCAAAGTATCAGCTAGCCTTTCGCCAGGATGATATTTAAGTGACATAGTACCAAGTTAATTGTAATCCTATTGGAACAGTTGAAATCCCATTAAGATGTTACCATTGTACTGAAATAAATGGCAATCAGAATGCCTCTGTAAAGGCATGTGAATCTTTCAGTCCTGTTTGATATCACTGTCAACTGTGTCTTCATTCTCAATGTGACGTCAACAGCTTTTATGGACACTACAATGCCAGTTCAAACAATAGCTGCTATTATCACAGGAGACACAAGGTCACATTCAGTAGTCCCAAAGAGGAACAACTCTGTTATATGATGAACATCTTGGTTCATTTCCATGCTTATACCAACTCACCAACTTTCACTATAATCCTATGCTACTTGTTACTATGTGCTGTCAAGTTTCTTCTGACTTGAGGTGATCCGAATAGGTTTTTGCAGTAAGTAAGATGTCACCCTCAGTGAGTTTCTAAAGCCAAGTGGGGATGTGAACCCAGGTCACTTTATGGTATAGAAAGATGTAAAGACCAGCTCCTAGCAATGGTTCTCTTGCAACAAGGATGAAATGGTCTATACTACAGCAAAGGTCAGACTGTTGACATTATACTAAATACATAAAATAATACTGACCAAAAAAGAAAGAAAGAAAAGAGGAAACAATGATGATTTTTCACTGCTGTGGTGGATTTTTTAAAAATGCATATAAAACTGCTAATGGAAGAAAAAAAGCCCTTTAAAACCCTCAGCATAATGTTCCTATTTCTCATATTATTTCAGCCACTTAATTAAAATAAACTTCAGTACAGTAAGTTCCTGGGGAAAATACAAAGTTTGTTGCAGTAGACACAGTTTGATTTTTTTAAAAACGTAATTTTAATCTCCTCTGCATCTGACTTAATTCTTTTTGGCAAATACAAGAAATGTCACTGTATAGAAATTAACAGTCTGTTCCCTCCTGCTGCAGAGCTCCCCATTTTAAATTCTGTGATGTACTTATTAACACATGGTATATGGCCTTAATTGTGCTGCATTCATTTCTGGACTTTACCTGTCCAAACGCTAGATGGAGCAAGACTGCTACTAAAAATGTTTGCTCAGAGAGAGGAACAATCCTCATTAATTTATCCACTGCATTCCTGCCAATTCACACATCCAATTCAAAGCAAATGCTAACACATACAACGCTCACACACAACCACCCTCAGCATTTGCCATCTTTCATCTAACATGCACCTGCTCGTCTAGAGTAAGTGCAGTATGACAGTACTAGGCTGCATATCAAGTTGCAAAATCCTTATGGTTTTGTTTCTGTATAATCTAAAATGGAATTTAAACAGCCATCTGTATTCCAGAGATTAGGCAATGTGCTAATTTATTATCGTAGATACAAATAAACAGAAACTGTAGATCCTAAAGAAGATTTTGAAGACAACCACCTTGATTGATACCAAATGCCTCAAAATAACCATCAAAATGAACTACACTATATATAACGTTTCGGTAGAAATCTTGTTGTACAGTTGCACAAATGGCATAGTTTTAGGACACAAATGGTTACAAATTAACAAATCTCCACAGACATTATCTGAGTCGTGTATCACAATGTGCAAGATACAGTACAGTGCCTGTGGAAATTTCTTAATTCTTGGCAACTTGCATCTAAAAGTTATGTTATTTGCAAAATTGTGAAACAGGATTTCAGCCAATTTTGTAAATTAATGACCAAAACCCTGTTGCAGAGTAGACCTGTTGAATAAATGGTAATCCCTACTGATTTAGTGGGCCTACTCCAGTGCGATTTACTATGCTAAGCAACAGGCTTTGGGTCAATACATATTAATGTTATTACAGGAATAACCCACCAACAGGAAAGCACTTAACTTCTAGGAACATTAGAATGGAAATACAGTATCCCTCACCTTCTGCGCTGATGCAGCCCTCCGCTCTTGTTTGGCTTTCATTTCAGCTAAAAGCCCACTGCCCATCACTTGTACTCCATACCTACGCCCTCCTTGAGGGCTTCCTTTGCTATCACTCTTCTCAAGTTTTGAAGCATCTTCTGAGACTGCCTCTTCCACAGAGTCTGGAGTTTTTAACTCATCTGTGCTGCCATTCTGGTCAGCTGATTTAACTTCTTTCTTTGTAGTGTCCACTGTGGTGCCTCTCGCAACACCTTTGGGGGATGAGGGCTCTTCTGATACTAATACAGTTTGAGGACGTTCAGATTTTGACCTGGATTTGATTAAATTGAGGAAACCACTTTTTCGTGAATCTCTTTTTTTCTTTTCATCAGGTCCTTCTCCAGACTCACTGGTGTCCGAACTTTTTGTTGAAGGCCTCCTAACAGATCAAAACAAAACAAAACAAAAAGGAGTGAAATACAATAAACATAAAAGATATGATGGCCTCATTCAGTTCTTACTTAAATGATCTTAGACGAGCTTTGGGTTTTCACATTCCCATTCTCCTCTCCTTCCTTCAACCTGGCCATGAAAAGATGAATACGTCTTTCGACTCTCTGTTTTTAGCATTGTCTCAGCCTGATCAGTCCTATGGTTTATTGAAACCAGTCAATTTCAAAACTTGCTTTATGAAGCTGCTGTCCTTCAATAAGCTACAGTTGAAATTATCCACGGTTTAGAATCTGCATGCAACTCTACAATAAAGTCAATCTTCTGGCTTTCTCCTTAACAGTCATGGCAAAAGAGGAGAGGAAACAGCACTTGCTTTCACAGGCTCAGACACATAACGTGAAACCATAATATATCTCCCGATCAGACCTGAGTATTTTTTTTAAAATATTAATTTAAAATTCAATGTTGTTTGGCCTGAAAACAAGCAGCTTCATTTAGATTCAGAACAGCACTTTCCATCTTAGTAAATTTAAATGTCCATCTATGCAGATTGATCAAAAGTAAATTACTTATCTCCACTCGTACCATGAATATTCAAGTTGACCCCATCAGCTGCTTCAAAACCTTCTTCTGGTTATTAGACTAATAATATTCATATTTAAAGAATGAATTTCAGTTAATACTAAACAGAGTCAACAGAATGCAAAATCTCCTTGGAAGGAAGAGATTTTTAGAGATAACAGTGTATAATACTATACACAATCAACTGAATGTGCAACCTACTGTAAAAAATTACATTCCAGGTACGTGTGTTCATAAGCATGGGGAAAATCTATCAAGTATCGTTAACCATGGATGTGTCTTTCCAATAAAACTCTGCTTATCTGTTGTATCTGGGGACTAAACTCTCCTTGGAATTGTTCTGGCATCTTCTCTTCATATGGGCTACAGAACTATGTCATATAGTCCCCTACTGCCCAGTCCAGCCTTCTCCAATCTGACAGCCTCCATATGTGGTTGGATTCTTACTTATATCATACCCAAACAGTGGGAAGTTGGTCTAGCATAAGTGGCAATGGTCTTTGCACCATAGCATGCCCTGCAGATGTGAGTGAAGGAAAAATATCGTATGATAACCAGTACTATGGACTATCTAGAATTTCAGTTAGCAGGAATGTTTCATTGGGATACATCCCTTTAGTCTAGATTCTTTGTGAAAATAACACTTATAGGAATGTTTCATTGGGATACATCCCTTTAGATTCTTTGTGAAAATAACACTTATGGATCCCCTGGCTGTGACATCTAGCAGTATGGACAATATTACACTATATTATGGCTTGATGCCATAACAATAAAGTATGTATGTTTACAGCACTATATTATTACATAATGAGAGAAAGAAATCCATATCTTCAGCAATGGATTATAAAGCTCTGCTTGAAATTGACTTTATTTTGAAGAGATAACAATAAAGAGAAATATATGTATGTGTAGCATGGCTTTGGAAATGCTCATGTGGCACAACGGACATACAGCAAGATAAGAACTGACCAAATCCTCTGTAAGGCAGTCTGGGTTTTTTTCCCCTGTCCTACATCTCCATTTTGTTATTGCCGTTATTTTCTTTTGGCTGAAATCCTGCTGCTGCAAATTATAAAAGCAAAAAAGTGTGCTGCTTATATACAGCCCCATAGCGCTTCAAGCACTCTCTGGGCGGTTTACAAGTTAATTATGCAGGCTACACATTGCCCCCCCCCAGCAAGATGGGTACTCATTTTACCGACCTCGGAAGGATAGAAGGCTGAGTCAACCTTGAGCCAGCTCCCTGGGATTGAACCCCAGGTCGTGAGCACAGTTTTGGCTGCAGTACAGCGGTTTAACCACTGCGCCATGAGGCTCTTATGGCACTAAGGGTGATTATGCCATTAGCTGCAGGGATTTTTTTTGGAAATGAAACATTCCCAGTTCCTCCTTGAAGGTCTTAAGGTTCCCATGGAATCATCATCATCAGGAAGCTGGTGGGGTCTATGAGATGGGAGCTGGAAGTCTTTTAATTACTGAAAAGCACTACAGTGGGAATGATTTTACCATCATCAGCCTTATATGTCATATTATGCAAGGATCTTGGCTAAGTATTACTGTGTGCTTTAAAAAAACTTTTAATTCCTCCCCCTCAGAACTAGGTAAGTAGATTTTTTCAAAAACAATGGGGTACTAGGATTCTGTGGATATTGACTAAAGTGCAGCACACATTGCCAACAGCAAAAGCTGAAGGCAAATAACAGGATCCTTGGAGAATGAATAAACAATGGTGAATAAAAGGGGAAGAGTGAAGTGGCTAATGAGGAAATTGCTCATGAAGTGTAAAACAGAAGCAGAGGTCCTTTGAGCTAAATGCAGCCCTTAAAATTAGCCCCAACAACCACTGCATCAGCAGAATTTGAGCAGAATTGTTCCCATAACTAAATATAGCTACCGAAGATAAATATTTAGGCACACAAAATATATGATCACATTTTTATTAAATAAGACATTGTTTCTGCATATTGAAAAATATCAATAATTAAGAATACACTATAAAAGTGCTATGAAAACGGAACTGGCTTTTTGGCCAAAATATTTTTAACTGCTAATCAGCAAGAAAATCTTGAGCCCCTTTTGATGGTTGCTTAGTTGATTTTGAAAAACATCCAAATTGATAAGGGTTAGAAACACAACATTTGGAATAGACATCGTTACTTCCCTAACTTAAAAGAACTGAGTGGACTTTTCAAATCCGGGAGTGGGGAGAAGGAAGTGAAAAACACCAAAATAAATAAATAAATAAATAAATAAATAAATAAATAAATAAATAAATAAATAAATAAATGGAGTGGAAAAGAAGAGAGAAGGCACTGGGGTGTGAGGATAAGACTCACCTTTTTAAAACATAGCGTCTACTAAGCTTAGTACTTGTCTGAATACTGAGTACAGCCCACTGAGTACTAGGGTGAGTCGGTGGGGGAAAACACCAGCAGGAAAAAAAGAGTTGAATAAGGGAAGGAAAAGAGATAGGGCCCTGGGGTGAGGAGGTGGAACTAACAACTTTTGAACCTGAGCGAAGCCATCCACATTTGCCAGTAATAAATACATGATGGGAGTTTATATTAAATGAATCTTATTGCCAACTCTTAGTTGAGTTAACAAAACTAAATTAAAAACATTCAGTTTGGTACAGGAAATGTAGATTTCGTGTTCTACCATTTTTAATAAGTTGCCCTCAAATGAGCACATTTAGGTTACACACACTTCAGTGCAGTCCAGCATTGCTCTGAACCCTAGCTGCTGCTTCTCAGCACTACATTCCTCCTCTTTCTGTCTATTTGTTCTTTTCACTCTCATCTGCTTATCCTGCTGTTTAACCTAACAGGCGGTGGCAACTGCTTTCAGTGTCATCACACCATACATAGCACTGCAACATCAACAAGACCATGCAGGTCACCACAGTCAACACAACAAGATGGCAGAAAGGGCAAAGGGGCAGAGAAGAATAAGAGAAAACTAAAAGGGGAATGGCGCAGAGAAGAAAATATTTTAAAAATGTAAATTTGTCCAAAAGAATATTCTGAAAAGTGAAAAACTGAGGAAGTATTTTTGACATGCATGAAGTATCAGAATAGGCAAAGCAGGAATTTTTACAAATGGACCACTACCCACCTATAAAATGCCCTGCTACATTACTGATTAATAAACTAGCAGACAGGGGGCTAAGAATGGAAATGCTGATCACCTGTTAGGTGGTGCATGCTGGCTGAAGGAAAACCATGCATGCACGCATTTGGGATTGCAATGTGTATGCTGGCCTCATACCTGAGAATGCTCTTTTGCACATATAATAAAGGACACCCATGAGCACTTCCTCCAATGCATAAATCCCACAGAATAAGACCACTGCTTACTGCTACTTAGCACTAACTATGTTATCTTAATTGTTATATTACAGTATTCAGTGGTGGCCAGGAGTGCATTTCCACAACTAAAACTAGTCAGCCAGCTGCACCTATTCCTAAAAGCTCTGATCTGCCACAGTGACACACACCTTAAGTTACTTTTTGGCTGGATTACTGTGACATGTTCTATTTGGGTCTGTCTTAGGAAAGTGTTTGAAAAACTTAGCAGGTCCAAAACACGACAGGCAGATTGCTAACTGGGGTTCGTCACAGGAATCACATAAGCCCACTGTTACAGCAGCTCCACTGGCGGCTGATCTGTTTCCAGACACAATTGAAAGTGCTGTTTCTAAGCTATAATGTCTTAAATTGCTTTAGTCCAAGCTATTTCAAGGATTGTGTCCCCCTTTTATGAGCCTGCCTGTGTTTTAAGATCATCAGGAGAGACCTTTCTCTCTGTCCCACCACTTTCACAGGTACATTTGGTGGGGGGGACTCAGGAGAAGGCCTTCTCTGGTGCTGCTCCCAGACTCTGGAATTGTCTCCCACGGAAGGACAGGCTGGTCCCATTTTTGGCGTCCTTCCTCAAGCAAAAACCTTTCTTGTCAGGCAAGCTTCTCCTTAGTAACAGGCTGCCTGAGTACTTTTTTTTTAAATGGACTGTTATGCTTTACTGCTTTGAATGAGTTTTTGGTGTTGCTTATGTTTACAGTTTTTTGTGTGGTATATGTTGGATCCTTTTTATTATGCGTATACTTCTGGTTTTAGCTTTAAATATTGTCATTTAGAGATGTAAGCTGCCTTGGTTTCCTTTTAAGGAGAAATGAATTAAATAAATAATACATTTTATTATAATAAATTTCACTGAAATCAGATGGCACTCTGTTGATATAAACTACAAGTTTGTCTGTAGTAACTTTAAAATAGAAGTAATTACGCTCAATGAAAGCTGTCATATAGTTCCAACAGCAGAAAACATTGTTAATTTGTACCTGTTTAGAAAGAAAAAACTCACCAGAATGCTAAAGAAATTAAGAATACTTACTTTGAATCCATTTTTGTCACCTTCTTTGTGAAAAATTCATCAACACCTTCATCCACTCTTCCCATGAGGCCATTCTGTTCTCCATCTTGCGGAGCTGAAGAACTCACCTGGTAAAAATACAGACACACGCTTAACCTAGAAGGATCAGCAATGCGAATTATGGCTGTCTGAGTCATGATTGCCTATTGGTTTGAGGGAACAATATATTCACCAATAGTTTAATGAAAAAAACAAGAAAAAAAGTCAAGGATGGCTGTCAGGCATCTTAAAGCATAGCTTTACAGCTCATAGACTATCCAAATAAATATGAAATGTAATTTCTTCAGCAATGCTTTCACTCACAGCTGCTTGTGTCGGTTGTTGCTTCTTGTTCCTTTTAGGCCTCAGTTTTGTAAAGTGCTCCAGTTTTTTTCCTTCCTCAGAAGGCAGTTCTGAAATGAATCCGGAAGTACGTTTGTCCAGCCTCCCAGAAGGAAATGGTGGGTCTTCTATGTGGATAGGAACTTCTTCCAATGCTTTATCCAAGTCAAACTCCATCTCTGATGGAAATATTTAAAGTTTAATAAGGGGCTCCCTTTTTGAAGAAAAGCCATGATACAAATAAAGTAAATAAAACCGAACAACTCTTTCCAGTTAGAAAAATTCTGTTAGCAACCATTCTTGGTGTGGGGAGGCACTTGTAAGGAAGCAGATCTGAGCTGGTCTAATCTGTGGATGTGAGCTTCAAAGACCTGTGCTCACTCCTCCCTTCCTGGGAAAGATACTGGAAACCATGGCTTGAATATGGATACACTGTCAAATTAGAAGTAGAATTTCTTGAAACTCTGAACAATCTTTCCCTTCTGCTTTCTTGGAAAAAAAACAACGGAAATGCCGGGCAAATTTGAAATACATGCAATACTTATTTTTATATCAAACTTAAACTTATTTCACTGTGTTGGCAACACAGAATGTTTCATTCATAATTTAGATACGATATATAATTCTCCATCTTAGTATATCTATGAAAAGGTAAAACCATAAAAGCCATAGTTTCGTGCAAGCAAGATTGTCAATATGCTCAGCTGCAAACCATTGCACCCCATGCTTTGTAAGCATATGTATCTTAGTTTTTGTCATCTGAGAGAGGTAGGAGAAAATTAAAACAGAAACCCGCAACATCTGTATTATTTGGGTAGAAGCAGTTTGGTCTCTGTGGTGTCTGCATTCTCCAAATTAAGTTACTTGGATAGGCAGTAATCCATGCAAAGCAAGGAACAATGCAAAAACAATTAAAGTCTCTCAGTGTACATGTCTTGTGAAAACAGCAGCAATGCAGAATTGCATCTTGGATCTGGATATACACAGGAATTTTTGTACTTTAATTCTGCAGACAGTCTTGCATACAAATATTCACGCTACATAATTTGTGATATTTTGAGCAAAATCTTGTCTTAAAAAGCATTTCTTTCATTTCAGAAGAGAAAATATTTTCAAGGCCTAATGCAGGTCCTAGAAGGGGGAAATTAGGTATATAGTGCAAACCATGCATGTCTGAGGCCTTTTAAGGTATACCTTGCATTTTGAGGGCAAAGCATATTTTTCAGGGTGCTTTGGGGGAGGCAGAATGGTCAGAGGGGTATGTGGCCCTCCAGGGACTGAAAAAAAGTAAGAAGTGCTCTCAGTACTTTTGAAGTTGTCTATTTCTGTCTAAAAGCTTGATTTAAATATAATAGCTTGTAACTGTTTAAAAGTGAGAAAAGTTGAATAGCAACAAAAACTGCAAACAAAAAACATAACACAAACCTATCTGCCTTGCAGTAACATTCTTTCAACAGACCACACATCTTAAGGAAGCAGTTTAAAATACCACAAGACAAACAGAAACAACACTGAAAAATCACACTTACCAAAAGCTCTGGATACTGGCCTTAACATTCTACTGTGGATACTCTTCCTTTTAGACTTAGGAGTCATCTACAGATCAAAAAGGAAGAAGAACTTAATGGTTTCTGATTACTTGTCATAGGTAGAAATAGGAACTCTTTAAATCTGAATAATACTGAAATATATTTCTCTTTATGCTACAAAGTCAACACAGCTGGAAAAGATGGAGAAAGCTACATCTAATTCCAGATCAAAAATCAAGTGACTGCTAATTAATCTCTCTCTTCAGAAATATTTATAATGATTGTTATGTTGGAAGAGATCCAAGCTTGATGTTCAGACTTCAAAGTGAGTTTGCAACATCATGTTTATTTTTTCCCCTAACATGGTTGAAAGCTGAACATTAAGTAGGTCACCTAACTCCATTAATTTCTGAAAAAGTGACTGCAATAGTATTATCATTGCTTTTTGGACAACAGGCTGTCTTTGAGTGATACTTTTGATGCCTTTATGTCACAGATTACAAATAAGTCTCCTACTATAAACTGTACACAACGGCCTTTAACTGGTGTTAATGTTAGCCTTGAATATGAAATTTTGTGCACTGGTTTAGATGCTTCTTCCTTCAGACAAGTGTAAATTAAAATGCTACAGTAAATAAAGTAGATTTAGTACTAGATATCTTGATTTCATCCCAAAAAAATACTCTTGCCATAGTTTTTTACATTGCTGCCAAATTGCCATTGCTGCAAGTGGTTTTTGACTATTAAAGGCTCCCCTACTCCCTGTCCCTGAGACTCCCAAAGGCTTCCCCAGGGCAAAAGCGAGCTAGGGAGCCTTGGAAATGGAAACTTAATTTAAATGAAACATTACCAGTGCTGGATATTGCTGTAACCTGGTCAATGCTGTGAAACTTTATATGAATAAGATTTGGGCCAGTATATATTTATATATGAAGACCTCATGCTATTAGGCATCATATAGTTATAAGAGTGAATAACTGCTAGTTACTAGTTTATCATCTACTGGTTTGAAGCCCCTGGCTTTTGAATTTTAGCAATTTTACAACTAGCTATTTATCTGAAAAGTCTCTGCAGTAATATAACAGTGCTGTAAGCAAAATTATACAAGCATACTTTTAATTTTGGTTTTAGGCTGGTTTCAGGTTTTCTTAAATTAAAAAGCTTATTTAATTTTGGCTTTGGAGTTTTAAAAATCATTTAAGTTAATACATAAATTAACAGAGTGAAACAAAGTTAACCATATAATATTAACCAACCATAAAATATAAAACAATTCAAAACAACAATAAGGAAGACACATAAAACTAAGTTCAAAAAAAGAGAGGAAAGTACAGTACAGTTAAAAGTACAGTTAAGAACTCCTTTCTCTGCTGCCTGATTAGTAGCCAAAAACCAGCTTGAACAGAAAGGCTTTTGCTAGCCATTAGAAACACAGCAAAGGAGAGGCAACTAAGGGGGCAACAAGATGGGTATTTGTCCCACTGTTTACGCCATGTTCCTCACTGTTCCATTCAGTATTTACTCCATCAACTACACACATTAGTGCTGGTTGTGAGTATATCTGATTTTTTGGCATTATTAAGTGGTGCATTCTGTTTCTGTGAAGATTCTCAGTCATCCAGGTGAGGTTATCTGGAAGTTGAGTCTGGACTTCTTATTAGGTTGAAACTTATTAGGTTGAAACGTTTCCCTGCTCATCCAAGAATCTCCTTCAATCTGATTGAAGAAGCTACTTGGATGAGTAACGAAACGTTTCGGCCTAATCGTTTCAGCCTAATAAGAAGTCCGGTTGCTAGGACTCAACTTCCAGGCACATTCTGTTCAACATGTTTTTGTGTAGCACTTCCATTCACATTATTTTGTCTTCCTTTTGACTTGGTGTGACTGCCTATTTCGGTCCTTTGGCGCAGCTGCTGGGCACGTCCAGATTACATCAGTGATGATGTGCGGAGTGGGATTATGGTGTGGGAAAGAATCCTACTCTTTCTGCCCAGCTTTTTGCTCACACTGCTAAAGACTATAGCTGCAATGCAATTTGTAAATTATATTTTTAATTCCCCCCCTTTAATCCAGTGATATAGCATTAAACTTAGAATTAGAGCACCAAACTGATTCAGCACTAATTCAAATGTTTATTATGTTTTGTCAGTTTAGTGCTATTTTGCTTGCTAAGAATTTAAAAAAAAGCAAAAGGATTTAAATACTGGTGAAAACAAGTTGCTGATAATGGCAGGAAAGAGAGGGATTATGTGTCAAATAGACACTTGAAACACACCTTCCTGGGATAATCAAACATTTCTGTGAGAATGGCAATAGCAATTTAAATTTTATTTATTTTTATTTATGTATTTATTTAATTTATATGCCAAGGTGTGTTGCAAAGAAGTTCCCTTTAACCCAGGAGAGGCCTCTGTGTGGGCACACACATAGATCTCTGTGGAATGAAGCAGCAACTGTAAAAGTCCAGTCTTCAATTCTCACCAAGCATGTATGCGAAGGTAATGGGATCAAAAGAAAGGCCTTCCTTCAAAATCTTAAGACCTGGGAGGTCCACATGTGGAGATGCGGTCCTTCAAACAGACATGAACGAGAGCACTAAATGGTCATAAGCAGCACTCCAAAATGGATCAGGAAACAGATGAGAAGCTAATGCAGTTGTTGTAGCATGGGAGTTATAAGCTCTCTGTAATGGGCCATAATCAATAGAGTGGCTACAGGATTTTGAACCAGCTGTCTTCAAAGAAACCACATGGAATACAATAATTTACTGTTATGTGAGAGAAAAAGAGGAAGATAAATGCTGCTTTTGCAAATCCGTGCAAGGACAGGATGACTGAGTAAATGGTTGTGGTAAAAAAAAAATCAGTATATACTCTTTGTTAATTATTTAGCTAACATAAGGAATTTAGGGAAGTCTTGAGAAATTATAAGAGGAAAGTACAAATAAGGGAGCTAACCTACTGTACTGACAAGAAGATTGACCAATTAAGCCTAGCTAATAATGAGGAAACCATATGGGTCAGTAAGAATGACCATAAGAAGCTTAAGGAAAGGGGAACATGTACAAAATAAGGAGAAAAATAAATAGGAGTTTGGGGTCTAGTTAATATGGGGAGTGGGAGGTGTAAACTGGGGCAGGACTTCACATGATCAGTTTAGGTGTTCCAGATAGGCTGTACACCTTCAAGTACCTACCAATGGGGAAACAAGGGAGGGACCATGTGGCTGAGAATAGGGAATAAATATTAAGCTATCTGTATTGATCGGTGTGCCTACCTAGTTAGGAGACTCAGTTTAGCAAAAGTGGTTTTTATTAAAGGAGAGCTGCTTGAATTCGTGGTTGTCTGGTTACTGTATTAAGTAACAAGGTGTATTAAGTAACACGGGTGTGAGCATTTCTCACATAAGGTCATTTTAACGAGAGCTTTCAAAAGTACAATACTTTAGAAGCAAGAAACTTTAGAAGCCTTTAGAGAAAGAAGCGATCGCAAAAACATTGTCATGAAGCGGATTCGTCGTCAAGTGGGGTAATCGTTAAGCGGGGCACCACTGTACATAGAAAAGCCCAAAATCAAAATTACACAATTAAACAATAAATCATATCAAATCAATTCTGGAGAAGGTTCTCAATGGCCTGTATACAAATCAGTTTTAATTAAATGTGAGACATACATAGAAGATGCCAGTGTAACTAAACAAACTGGTATTCACTTCAGTGCTTCTGTATAGGCTAACTGCAAAATCTACAGTTAGGCAGCATCTTTTCAGGATTATTCACATATGCAGAAATATTTTTAAAAGGTACTGTGGGATTTTGTGCTCTTCCTTATGGACCAGCATGGTTTATTATGTATGAATGAATTGAACAAATGAATGAATGAATTTACTTTATTGTCATTGTACTTCTGTACAACGAAATTAAGTGCCATCTCTAGTACACATGATGATAAAACACACAAGAGCATAACATCCATAACATGAAAACATAGCAAACTGAACATAAAACACATCCCTCTCATTCAGTTTCCCATCGCACAACAGATTAATATTGCACTATATAGTGGAATTCAATATAGTTGCTCTTCTGGGACAGAAACTGTTTTTCAACCTATTTGTCTTTAATTATCCTATACCGCCTACCAGATGGTAACAACTGAAACAGGGAATGGCCTGGGTGTGATAGATCTTTGAGAATATTTTCGGCTTCCCCATCCTCCACACCACTGGCTATATAGTGGTATCTCGACTTACGAACGCCCCTACCTATGAACATTTTGACTTACGAACAGGTCCGCTTGCAAAATTTTGCATCAACCTGCGAATGGAGCTTCAGCATACGCACCGAAAAAGGCAGTGGAAAAAGGCGGGAAATTTAAATTTACTAACTGTTGGTGGTGAAGAGGCTCCTTCTTTGTAGCTCTTTCGCCCCAATGGTTAGGGAAAGGGATGTGGTGGGGTTAGCCCACAGCCAGGAGAACTGAGCCTCCTGGGTGCTCTGCCGGGGGCAGTGGGGGCGGAGGTGACCCAGAGACAGGAGGCTTGAGCTGGCCGGGTTTCTTTGGCTGCTTGTCTCCTGCTCGCTCCTCGCCGCCCTCCGCCATTTGAATTTTCATAGAAGTAGTTGTACAGATACACACAGGAGCCAATACAGCATAGTAGATAGAGTGTCAGGCTATGATTCGGGCAACGTGAGTTCAAATCCCCACTTAACAATGAAAATTCACTGTGTAGATGGCATAAGTAAAACCATCTCTCAAAATATCTCACTTTCCTCAGAAATCCTACTAGTCACCATAAGTTAGAATCAACTTGACAGTAGATCAAACATACATTAGATTTTAAAAGTACGTTTTATAAAATACATTGTTCAATACAGACACAGTTCCCTGCATGGCATCATCTTTCTCATCAGTGTCATATGAACTTTATCAGTCCTATCATTAGCATGTGGCTTATTCCTTGCTCTATCCTTCCCAATGAAAGGGAGAATTAGCTTGATATGCTAGGTTTTTCTAAATACTAAACAGTGAAGAGATATGGGACACCATTTGCAGCTGCAGCCCTGTGTTTATTTGGAGTTCCAACCTAAGAAAATGCTTTTCAGCAGAAAATCTGGATGTGATTTAGTCATCCTGAAGCTTTCTTCTACAGAGATATATAACAGAGAAGATAAATGTCTGATTATTAGAATTTTAGGTGTGCGTCTGCATTTCTTCTGTAAAGACTGCTAGATTTATTCCTAATGTCTTCCTGTTGCCTTGGTAACCAGTTCCCAAACCAAACAGTACAAGTCAAAAAAGTTATGATTCTAACCAGTTCTCTAGAATTTAACGCACAACTAGATGATACAATTAGAAAGTACTTCCATTGAGCCATCAATTATTGCTCTCAACTGTCTTCTTTGACCCACAAAATTTCCTCCTGTATCATTTTTCTGCCATAACTATTTTATACTATTCATCTTTCTATAGTAATTTTATTGGTGCACATGTGGACACATAAACATACACTTTCTATATCATCCTTAAATTCCTGCTGGAAATTACAGACATTACAGGGAACACCATGGCATGTGTCTGTAATACGGAACTGAAAAAGGAGGATCCATTGGCTGGAACATATCACAAAAGTAACTGCTTTCACAGTTTTGATCCTGTGGGGTTAATGACAACCCACTTGAAAATGGAAACAAACTTTCTCAGTCTGGCTGTTTAGTAAATCCTTGGAAGGCCGCAGATACAAGCT